TTCTTTGTCTCTCCTACACTCGTTATTCTATATTCGTAAGGTTTTATTGAAGGTAAATGACGTCTAAAAACGTGGAAGGAAAACCACGTGTTCATCTAAAGAGAAAATTATGACCTACTTACAAAGAAAGAAAAAAAATACAGTGATAGCGTGTTAACCTGGTGAAAACAGAGCTCATAGCACGTAGGTCCATTTATATATTCTACACGTCCCATAGATTCTTTGTTTGGATAGATACGTAGTTTATATGCTAATATTTTTACTATTACGTTATTTTTTTAGTAACAAAGCAACTATTTTCAACCATTTTAATTGGATTTAGTAACTACCGAAGTCCGTTTTAAGTAGTTTCGAGGCCCCAGCCCAATAGGTATTATACAAATAAAGAGCAACGAGGTAAAAATTCTAAGGCGAGGCCCCATCCATGGTTGGGCATGCCCACGAATATGCGTATTGCGCAAAGAATTGTTCCATTTGTGTTCTAATTTATGAAACATGGATAAGATTTGAATAAATTATTAATTAAATACCTGCCACTATTAATCATACGGCCAATGACCGAAAAGGAACTATATTCGAGGGTATGTAAAGGAGATAGACATTAATATTCCATAATTCTTAAATGAAATTCGAAGGGCGTATTCAGGATTTCTTTAACGAGGGTATCCGAAATGTAATTCCAAAAAAGAATGCAAAAATTTGCGTTAATTCTAGGTCATCTATTCGAAAGAAGTTGGAAGTGGATTTTAATTCTTATTAAATGCGACAAATCCCCCGCTTTAGGTCCAAATTGATTCCTGGAAAACCGTCGTAAATCGTAGTAGTAAAAAGGGATGGTAAAGAGGGAAATTGTTGTATTTTACAGTGAAATTAATTATAATTTTTAAGAATTTATACAGTGAAACCAACTCAAAGTGGTCACCTTACGCAGGCGGTCACATTAGCAGGTTTCACTGTATATATATAAATAAATTTTTACACACACACAGTGTGTGAGTAAGGTCATTAAATTCTCCTGTAAACCAAGTGAAAAAAACAGCGAATCTTGTATGTACATACCTAAATACTCATACTGCACAGGCAATAGAGAATAAGATTCTTAATATCAATCACGGGTTCGAATCCCATGGGATTAATCCACTTTCATGGCCAGACAATTGATAAAGGAATCAGAAGACTCAGATTCGAATCCTAAAATTTTCAGAGATGAATGACCTGGTTATCGGGATGTACAGGAATGTAGGACCACCCTGTACTCCAACACATCTTTTCCATTGTAGACATGGCCGAACCCATTAACGACACGAAAAATAACCTTCTTAATGGCCGCACAGCGGAAATAATTAAAATTAAAAACACAGATAAGTAAGAAAATAAAGAAAAATATATTTTGTACTACTCCTTCTCGACTTTCCGATGTATTTAAATTTAAAAAAAAAAAAAAAAAACTGTACTAATGGATTGGCAAAAGAACTTACTAAATTTATAATATCGGTATCACTAGACACTTGATTAGTTTGACTATTAGTTACCGTTGACCTATTTACGCACAAAAAGGTATAAAGTATCAGAAAATCGGTGGAAAAATTCACAGAAAATCGATGTATCCGAACAAAAAATTTTGTAATATGTCCCAATCGATACTACGTAATACTTTGTTTCTAGATTTTTTAAATTTTAATGTTTTTTTTTTGTTTTCTAATAAAGATACGTGACTCGAATCTTTTCTATCGATTCCACTGTATTTGATTTATTCTCTTATGTCTTTCACCTTTTTATAGCTATCGTTTATCACCTATCTTCAGTATATCCTTTTATGGTCGAACCTAATCCTAATGGAATCGATAAGCACGAATAAGGAATTTTCGGGAACAAAGCACCAGCAATAATAATAATAATAATACAGTCAAACCTGTCTATAACGGAACCTGTATACAGCGAAAACCTGTCTACTACGGAAGAGTTGAACGGTCGCTTAGGGTTCAGTTATAGATAGATTTGACTTTAAATTTTAAATATTAGATAATACTTGTGTTTCTAGGCATTAATGCTTAATAATTATCTAGTTTTATTGAAGTACTTTCAACAGTTACTAATTATAGAACTGCGAAATATATATATATATATTATTTTTAAAGGACTCGCGTACTTGTCCAATTCTTTTCGAATTTAGAGGTTAAAACGTATTAATGGAAGTTTTGTACTGTTAAAAAAAACACTTAAAAATGCTTTAATACTTCAAAACTTTCCAATTCTCTTGTCAAAACTTTCAAAGATTTCATTTTCGAGTGGTATGACCCGGTAGAACGGCTGTTGCCATAGCAATATCTTAAATTCGGCAAACTCTTACCTGAAGTATATTCTGAAAAAAAAAGGAAGAGGGGGGGAACGAGAAAATAGTGATTGTTATCTGGCTGGTTATCAAAGTAATATGGAACGGTTCCAATTCAGGCGGACATTTACAGCGAGAAAAGATGATTTCTATTGTAGAAAACGTCATTATTATTACGTCCGACGTCGTAATTTTGATTCTAAATATATATTTATATATTGAATCATTAATATAAATTTCGCACGAAATCATTATTATTATTATTACTTAAATTAAATTAACATAATTCTTGCTTTAATAAATTCGGGTTAATCTTTTCTTAGAAAGATTGAAAAAAAAAACCCTCGAATCAACTTTATAGCAATTAGTTCGTGGACGGCTCTAGAAGGGCTGATCTACTCCAGGAAATGATCTAAAAGAACTAATCTGGCTCAAGAAACGTATCCAGGAGGGTTGATATATTCCGAAGAAGGATCCAGGAGGACTGATCTGATCCATGATCCCATTCACCAGAACCCCTCGAATCTTCATTTATTAAGCACAGAAAAAGAAAGCGTTATGTAAATTAATCTGGAATTTATAATAATAAATACAATTTTAGCAAATTTTATCGGGGAGGAGACGAACGTAAAAATGTCCGTCCGATTACCGTATCCAGTACTTTAAAATACAATACAGAAAATGAATAACCGAATCGAAATGCACCACTTTGTAACCATGACAACTGTTACTCGCTTTTTATTACTTTACAAAGGAATTAAACGATGATAATGCCAAGTTTATGGTCGCGTATTGACTAAATTCATATATTTATCTCCAACGAAACAGCTTATTCCACCGAAAATGTCTCGGATGTTGGCCTTTTAGTGTCACCCACAATCTAAATTTACTTCGTCCTTGTTATAGCGCAACAATTACTTTATAAAATCGTACTTTTATTAGATTGCGCGCGACGCGACGCGATTTCCACTCGTGCGTCACGTACAGAATATAAGTATATTTAACAATACAACCGATTATATATGTATATATATATACACACACACCAGTATATTAAATTTACAATTAAAAACTGAAAGTAGCTTGGATTTTTAACGTAAAAGAGAATTTCACATATTAGATTAACGCTTCTCGACCTTTCTCGTCGCGTCGCGCGTAAAACATAGTCCAAACGCGACGCGACAGGTAAACACTTCGATAACGAATCCTCAATATTTGCTTTTGGCTTCGAAATCGCGCTTAAATATATAATTTTAAGCAAATAAGAAGGAGAATACGATCAATAATGCCACTATAACTTGCCGTTCGCCAGCGTAGGGGTTATCTATTCGATACCCCCACGAGGCAGTAAAAACTCCAATAAAACAACCAAAAATTCACGTAATCGAAGCCATAGTTGAAAGTTCTTTTTATATCCATGGACCAAAGATTTCGGCGCGATTTACTTTTTAGCCAAGCATTAATGCCTGCAGGAAATGCCGAACCCGACTCCTTTTTTTACAGCTATAAAATCACACCAAACAGTAAAAACTATTACGTACAAAAAGCTGCAGTAAACAATAAAAAATGAATCGAATTTACAGATTACACCCCATCAGCGTAATCTACAAAGCAACCATTTAGAAATATTAATCAGATTAGATACCGTGTACTAATACATAATTCACAGAGCGAGAACGTGATAACCGTGTGTCGCAGGTATTGTGTTACGTAATTTCGTCAACAGGACAAACTTTATTTATTTACGTGGCACGTATCTTTGTTAATATTTTTTCTAACTACGTAACTAATTTTCTCCTCATTACTTTTCGTTTATTTGGCTAGAATCCAGGTAGAAAACGAGTGCCCCCGGTACACAAACTTCCCCTTTCGATATTCCTCCATATCAATTGTTAATTTGAATTTTCACCTATTATGACGTCGACATAATTCCCGGCAGAGTAGAGATAAATAAATTAAATTTCTCTCCTCGTATTCTACAGCAAAAAATAATTCTAGATATTTTTAGAATTATTCGAATGCAACGCGGCTCGTTCGTACAGAACGTGTTGCTAATTTGCATACCGGGGCGATTCTTTGTTCCTATATTATTTATTTATTTATTTTATTTATTATAGAAACTAGATGCTACATTTCTTTCGGGTGAATTAAATATAGGATTTAAGTAAGAAATTTTAAGGTGGGGTACAGTAAAACCTGTGTAAACCGGAATCGCACAATACGGATTGTTTTCCGGTTTGGCAGGTTTCCGTTTTAGATAGGTTTTACCGTATATAAACGTATACGTGAGTAAATTCCTTGTTGTGGATTTATTTGTATTCTTGTTTTACATCCTTCGGGGTGTATCATTATTGTTATTTTTTTTGCAGAGTATAAGAAGCGTAACATACATGCAAAGTGATAAATCACGTCAAGGTCAATACGTTAGAAAAGGAGGTGTTATTATTTTTGATCGGAGGCCAAATTTTTTTTTCCATAATCTATATAATTAACGAATGCCCGTTTGAACGGAGACAATACAACAAATAAATCCGTATAATTTGCGTTTTACGTGTTCGGTGACGAATAATAGCACGTGCTACGTAGGAATTCCGTTCGTACAGTCTGTCCCGGTGCTTAGAAATTATCCTTGAGATGACGAAAACTACGCTATTTTAAGAGCACTTACCGTATTTTCTTCGAAAGCTTGGAACACGTGACAAATGAAAGGCTCATCGGGAAGATCCTTGGTCAAGTAGGAGAAGCACGAGTGATCGTGAGCAGTTTGAGCGAATTTGGAAATGCATTGTAAGCGATGCTCGAATATCAGTTTGTTCTCGTAGACGTCGACGGCCTTTAAGGAAGATTCTGTAACTTCTAAGAACACCTCCTTCCCCGTTGTCGACGACGAGAGCTTGATCTCCGAGATAATCCATGGCAGCATGGGCTGACTGTACCGCTGATTAAGTACCGATGAACCGACGTATACCACGCGATACGTGCGCTGGAAAGTCACGTGATTGGCGTGAGGTTTAAGAAGCAAGTGAGAGAAATCCGAAGTGAAACTCCTGGGTCGTTCCTCCGTCATCTTAGATTCGGAAGCGTGCCATTCCGTGTTATCGTTAACATCCCTGTCCGTGTTACTTTTGCCCAATCTGTTCATTGCTGAACAGTTTCCCGGTTCATCACATCACGGACGAAAATTACAAATTGGCAATTAGAAAAAGCAGCGATTCGCTTTCCCCATAAAGCATCATTTTTATAACAAAAGTCGCATACGCTTCGCTCCAACGCTCGATGCCAACTACTCTCGAATCAGTTCGGACCGTTAGATGGCGCTCGTAAGCGGTGGTCGGACGTGCACGTGGTCTGGTTAAAAGTACAGTAGCAACAACACGCAAACCCTCGTAGGTTAACTTGCGCTCTACTGCCGCTTATTTTCGTTATTTAAATGCTTCCAAAATAACAAGCACTTCTTGTTAATATCCAGGGTGATTCAGTTCGCTTAAAATGTTCAAATTTTAAAAAATACAACTAGTGTTTTTTTTAAATATAATTTACACCCTATCTAGTAGTGTTGTTTCGGGTATGTTTTCCACAATTACGTTAGGCTTCTTACATTCTCCTGTCAAATATTTCATCACCACACACACTACAATGCATCTCAAAAGTCTGTTTACCTCTAAATATCCCCTATTTAGTATTTTATAGTGCGATGTGAACGTTCTGTTTCGATAAAACAAAAACATTTAATACCTATTAGGCAGGCCATTTTTAGGTAGTTTTGAAGGGCCCTGGCTCAATTTTTATAAGCATTTTATACGGATAGAAAAATGAAATAAAATGAGGCCCTCTAAGAAGGCGAAGATTTCCGGCCATGATCGAGTATGCCCATGTATTAAAAGCTAACGAGGCCCTACAGGATTGTTCACGTAACAATTGGCCGAATTTAAGTATTTTTAATTGAGTTAATTTTATTTGGATCGTTTTCGAGGAACCACAATGCAGTTCTGAGCAGTCTTAGGGTCATTTATCTGAGGTCGTTATTCATTTTCTTTTTTTTATTGCCTCTCTTTATTCCATCAGCTTCGTTAAAATTGCCGTTTATGTAGAGTTAAGGAACGTAACAGATGTTAAATCGCGTCAAGGTCGATAGGTGTGTGCCATTAGTTTTAATATATTTACGGTCCGTTATTGACGTGTATAAATAAACAAAGCTCCTACAAGCCATTGAAACTGTACATTTGTAAACAAACAATTAAAAAAAAAGTTTAAAAATAACTTGTTTATGAACAAATTTTAGGAAATTTCCATTCGTTAGGGGTCAAAGCTATAAAGTGTATTCGCTATTTATTGTTACTAATCTCCCATTAAATTACTTTTTCTCGTCCCTTGATCTTCGCATCATCTTGTGATAAAATTCTCGTAAGGATTACTGTTAAGGAATTTTTAAGGAAATATTGTCTCTATAATAGTTTCCTTTTTTTATACAGCATACCCTCGCTTTACGACCGATATAAATCTATCATTGTGATCGTACGAACTGCCGTATTTTGTGCCATTTCTGCATTATATAATTAAATATCTTTACATGGAACGTGGCCTCAATTTACGATAAACATTTAATGCGTAAACAGACCTTCGCTTTACGACGGCTCCTTATAAATTAGGTCGTAACAGCGAGGATCTACTATAACGTCGTTAATATTTAATATATTCTCAACGTGAAAATTATACACGTAGACGACCTACATACGTAACTATAACCGATATTAGGGGAACCCGAATTAGAACGTGCAAACGTACATTCGCTCCTGTACCACTGTGAAGATTTAATTCAGATATTCTACGTACATAAGTACGGGAAAAAGATTTAAATGCGGCAAACGTACTTATTTTTTTCATTTATTTATTTACAAAGATAAGAGTGCCCAGACCTCCGTTACGATACTACTAAATATAGAGAGTATTTTGAATTCGAGATCAAACTCCGATTAGAATTTTTGGAATGTAGTCAGAAGAGGCATATGTTGCAATAATGGTGGATGGTGCCTACATTGAATTTAAGGTATGCGTACGAATCTCCACTTAATAAGATCCAAGTTAAATAATTTTCACCGTCTTTGCGTTGAAAATGTAGAAATTACGGCGATTTCTCAATGCCTAGTTACTTTCCACCCGTCTTCTGTATATGAATTTTTGTAACCTCAAATCAAAAACATTCGTAAAAATTCACGGACTTGGATCCACTCCAGTTATTTTCGTAACTTAGATCCAGATGTTGGATATGTTACTCGAATTCACGATTCAAAAACAAATACAATCCTAGAAATCATGTTAACTGCCTCCACGTTCCTCTATATCGATGGTAGATGAAGTGAAAAATTAATGCTTGAGTAATGAACAATTTGCAATGTCTCCCTTAATAGGACTTTTGATTTATAAAGAATAATTATTACTAAATTTAATTAATAGATTATAAAGTAATATTAACTTCCGTCAAATTCGGTTATCAGATGATAAAAAAATTAATAATCCACGTAACATTATGATTTTATAAATGTAAGATTCAGTCGCGCCACCTGTCGATTTAAAAATAAACCATTTTTTTTAAATCCTTAGACTTTAGTTGATTATTCCAAATAATTGAATAATGCAAGAGTATAACTACTGAAATTTGAACTTCCAAAATTAAATTTAAATTTTGTTTCCATGCAAATTGCTTGGAAAAATCAAACTATAATGTCATATCAGTGTAATTTTCAATGAAGATTGGTGGCAAAACTTTCCCTCCCTTTAAATTTTGGTTATATGTTTATAAAAAAATTATTAAACTAGTTTGTTTAAACTGTTAATAATTTAATAAATTGATTCACAATTTGTTTCTATTGTTCAAATCAATAATAAAAAAGACTAATATTAATTAAATTTTGACACTAAATGCCTGGAAATGACCTTTATATTCATAACTGGTGCATGTTTCTGTTCTACAATGAGACAGGTGGAGATGGGTCTTGATACCATATGTTGAACAATTTATAAAAATTTCTTAGAACATAAAGACACTCCAACTAATTTTGGTGCTCCAGGTAACTTATATTACATGGAGAATCAAATCTGGAAGGCAACCCTTTCACTCTTAATTTGAATAAGACAATGAACTTTCTTCCCCCCAAGACAATACAACTGATATAGATTTTTTTAAAGAAAAATTTAATAGCAGCAGAGAAATCTACGAATGTCTCCTGGCATCTTTCTACGGCTATTACTTCAATCACCACGTTTTAAGTGCTTGTGTCATTTGTTCACTTAATTCATTTTCTCATCCTAATGAATTTAAAGCATCGATAAAATTACTTGCATTCTTCAATTAATATACACAAATGGCAAATCATTTAATATAGTTATTATTATGCTGTATACCCCTTCTGGTTAAATATTAAAATCATATAAAAATTACCAAATCTCCAAATACTGATATTAGCAAACTATTTCAAATATGAGTAATTTGTTTCCTTATAATCATAACACTTTAATGACAATTTATACAATGATCTGGTTTAAGGACAAATACTACTAAAATTCATTAGATATTACTAATAAATCTTAGATCAATATTGATGAAAAAAGCCCTTTTAGTGCCCACATACACACAATTTAAAAAATTTGATAACTCATCAGAATTATATATACTGTATATATAAGTATTGCAAGACAGAAACATTCCCTTTTTGTACCAGTGGAAGAGAATCCATTAACATGTGATTTATCATACCTACATTATCATCAATATGCTGTAGTATATATTATTATATATCTTGTATTTATTAATTAAACAAACTTCAAAGATAATACAATTGCTTTACAGAAAAATAAACTTCAGATTCTTTTTGTAAATATAAAACAAAAAATCAATGAAACGACTCATCTTTAGTCTTAATAGTTGATGCAACTAAAACAGAGTCAATTAGCTTTTGGAACAAATTGACAGGGATTTATAGAAACAGTTCAACGTAATTTCTTGCCTTGCAACCATTATGCTAAATCGCCTATTCTGTTATACTAGATTAAGTGTGTAGAAAAAATTCCAACTGATATTTTATAAAACAAATGATAAAATTATGAATATGTAATATGTTTTGACATCACTATATTTCAAAAATTAATTTATTTAAGCCATAAATATTAAATTTTGATTATTGAGGCTGATAATGACTAATCGCATAACTGTTAACAATAATCATCTTGTATTTACGATAATTAAAGAAAAATGTTATGTTACTCAGTAACAGAAAATTCAAATCTGAAATATTTCCAGTTACTAATAAAATCTATTTTCATGGAAATTATATAAATTATATATATATATAATTNAGATTTATTCATAAATAAAAAATTAAATTTCAAATGAATGTAATAACTGTTTTTATTCGTTATTATTAAGTAACATATAAAAATATAGTTAAATGAACCCAAACCAACATTAATACAAATAAAAGATTTACAGAAATTTAAAAGAATTTAAAAAATTCTTTTAAAATTTTACATCTCTCTGGACAAAGTTAGATTTAAATTGATCTTCTATATCACTATCCAAAGGCAGATTTGCACAACAGAAAACTTAAGATGATAATGAGCTCAAACAATTAATATATCCGAAGATTACTTTAGGCTATCAAGACCACAGGAGACAATTCGTTGAGATAATGATTGAAGCTCGATGTCATCTTAAAATCTGCCTTAATTAAGTTATGTAGAAAACAGTTTAGAACTATTAATTATACTTTAGGGACTAAAGTAACTATTACACTAGGGAATCGATTTAAACATAGCTTCGATTTTCTTATTTTTAACATAACCAGAAAAACTGTTAATAGTTTAACATAGAAGCAATAATCATAATTTAGCTAACATTAGCTAGGATTGACTTAACCATATTTTACACATTCTTATACATTCATACTCATATGGAATGTATGAAATTTTTTTACATTCATACTGAACGTAAATGCAATATATAATTGTTGTTAAACATAAAATAAGTCAAAATAAATGAAATACATGAACAATGAAATAAAAATAAAATAATGCTTTGTAATAATGTTTATAAAAATTATTTTTTGAAAAAAGAAGTTAATATAAAAACTGTCATCTCTTTAAATGGGCTAAGTATAATTAACTAAATAATTTCGTCATCGCTGCTGCTTCCTTTCTTGTGCTTCTTTGCTGTAGCAACAACTCTTCTGCAATAAAATATTTTATTATTAATTATGGTAATTTATGTAAGTATTTGAATCAACTAATTTTAAATATATGTAATTCAAAATGTTAATTATGGTAGAATTCTGCAAACTCAATCTAACATGGATTGAGAGGATGACGAGTTTTACAGACTGTGGTGGATTATTCACAATTCATAATACACTACTACAAATTAATCTATTAAAAATCTTTTAACACATTAGAGTGAAAGAAAATCTACAGTATACAGTAATTTAATGTAATACAATTACTATACTACAAAATATGTAATAATAAGACATTATCTGGAGGTAAATTTTTACATATGTATTACAAGGCATTTTATCACATCCTTGTTTCAAGAGAGAGAATTAAAAAATGCAGGTTTGTAGAAAAATAAAAAAAAAATTGTTTTTAATAACAAAAATGACAATTGATCCTGGTTTTATGAGTATTATTCTTATTGCTGAATAACCTATTTATTAATATGTTTGTTATGCTTAAAAAGATGTTTTTTGCATTGTTCTACAAACTTACATTTTTTAATTGCATCACTTTTGAAGCAAGGCTGCAATATGTGCAAATTCATATACATACAAATAACTACAAATAGAAATAGTCACTAAATTTTAATTTTAGAAATATTGACTGTTCAGTGGCTACTTTTGAGTTAGTGATGTTTGTGTCATGTTGTTTTGCAGTGGCAATTTGGAAAAAGGGTTATATTCTTTGTTAACAGTGGAAGTGATGTTATTATCAAGTGTTGCCAGAATATTTTATTTATAAAACACTTACCCTTTTCCTGATTTTTTTAACTAAAATTGAAATATTTTATTTAAATATATCTTATTATATTAATTGGTTTAAAAACCAGTAAAAATAATACAATAAAGTCTAGAATCAATCTGTTATTTTCATACAGACAGTATCTTTTTTTTACATCTGATTCTGTTTTCATATATAAAAACAGAATCAGATGTATTATTAAGTTTTTAAGAAATTTTATCTTAAGATTGACTGAAGTTTAACTAAACATCTTCAATGTTTTTCTAACAGTCAATTGATAATACTGTACCTACACACCACTTATTAGTGTACATAGATATAATAATGACTGGATAAAACAAATACGTAAATGTTCCATGAATAATGTTACATGTAGTAAAATATCTCTGCAATCAGTGTAAATTGGTGGGAAAACATTTTGTATTTTTTTTTCTGTAGGCTACAATGTTTAATCTTGTGTACTTGCAACTATCTCTAAACAATACTTCATCTCTACATCTTGACCACCAGTCCATGTTGATCAATTCTCACAGAAATTGTAGTCAGTCAACTTATATAGTTTTAATAAAACTAACACCCTCAACACACTACAGCAAACACTATATAATTTTATTGATAAAGAACAAGAAGAAATTACAATAGTAATATTTTTCAATGCAGATATTCATTACTAACATGTAATATTTGATGCCTGTCATTTTATTTTATTGGATAAAATTAACAGACTTGAAATCTTAATTTAAAAACAAACAAAAACATCATTTAACTGCTGCCATATAAGCTGCCAAATTATAAGGCTATAAAAGATGTGAAGAAAAATACAAGCTTTATAGTAAGATTATAAAATTTCTATATTAACCTAAGGCTATAAAATAGCTTATAGTCTTACAACAGCTCAAAAAAAATTTTACAATAAAGCAAGTACTTAATATAGTTTCCTTAAAATATTGTTGTGGAAGATACAAGTACAGGTAACCCCTGTATAACAAGGCACTTCTATAGCACAGATTCACTCAAATGGTTTGGGAATTAAGTAAAACCCTTGTACAACATGAAATGTAATAAAGGGCGTGTTATTTTATACCTCCACATAACTCAGCGCAAGATTTCTAATTTTTTTCGTGGCTACTTTCAATGCTCTTTCAACAAATAATCCATTTAATGGTTAAATTTTATAATTGGGACCCTTCCTTTGCCTCTAAAAGCTCATTTTAGAATTATAGATTCCTCCATCACGATACTATCGATAGTGCGGGCGCAGCCATCTTTCTTTCACCGTTGTTCCTAAATGCCTACAAACAGCAGCGCACTCCCGTTTCAGAGCGACCGCTATTAACGAATGCACCCAAAAACTGTTACCAGTTGATGATGCTCATGCTGAGACCATCATATAGGATGAATAGTCCTCTGGTATAATATTTACTTAAATAATAAATATTTTACCTATGAAAAAATGAATAATAAATACAATTTAAATAATTATTTAAAAGCATCTTTTTTAATTTTTGCAACCTAACCCCCCTTTNATTTAAATAAGGATTTAACAACATGTTTTTTAATTTTTGGAACCTAACCCTCCTTTTCGCACTAGTTCTTTTTTTTGTATTACACAGCAATTTATTGGAATGTAACTCCTGTGTTATACGGGGGTTACTGTATATATGTTGTTTACAATTATTATTGTTTATTTTCTTTATAAACAGTAAAATTGATTCTACAAGATGGGAAATAAATGCTGGAAGGTTGGAAACCATTCTATAATACAGTAAACCTGTCTATGGCGACCACCTACAGTTCCTTCAAAAAGTGGTCTTTTAGACAGGTGGTTGTCCAATATAGGTGGTGCTGTAATACTATATTTCCATATGTATTTTGTGCATTTTTTAGCCATTTCTACTAAGCAAAACTTGAGGTGAGCAAAAGTAAGCAAATTTTTTCAACAATAGGACTATATTGGTATTGTATTTTATTCTTATAGGATAACTCGATTTACAGGAGTTGTCGTGATTTTATAAGACATTTAATACCAATATTTTAAAGATTAATACAAGAGTCATATTTTCTCGATTATAATGCACACTTTCTTTTTTCCAACTTAATTAATTCAACTCGGTTGTTTTTGTTCGTTCCTCAGTTACGTGTATTACATCATCGATATACAAGTGCATAGTATCTCTACATCACTTTGGTTTTGGTATTCGTTAGTTTGTTCTTTTTTAACTTTAAAAATACTGTATTTTTTAATATTTAATATTTTCTTAAGTACAATAAGTAAAATAATTAATTAATAATATAACAATTTTATTATTTTTTCTCATAACACGATTTCATTACATTTCGCGATTTTCATTGAAGAATCAAAAAAAGAAGGTTGCCTGTAAAACTGATTTTTGCATTAATGCATTTATTGTTTTTTGAATATTTTGCATGCAAAAATTACTTGGATATTATTTTTCTAAAAATATCATGGAAATAAGGTAGGTTGATACAAACTATTTATCACACATGTACTGTATATGAGCTTCAAAATAAATAAATAAATAAAAATAAATTTTATCAAATGATGAGATCATCCACTTAATTGTATCGTGTACAATATTTTATACCCCCAAGGAATATACTGTAGGTCTACAGTAAAATCAATTTCATTTTCCTACAATTAAACTTTGCTGCTAATTGCTATTATGATAACTTTAACACGCTCTTCTAACGACAGTACTTTCTTTGCATTTCTTTAGTTTTTCAGACAATTTCAAACAAACTGAAATGAATTTCCTTTGTTGCTAGACTAATTTATTAACACCTGCACCTAATTTCAAGGGTGGGATAAGTGCCCGAGGTGGGTTCAAATGAGAGTTTAGACTAATTCATTATTTTAGGAGGGGGAAACATTATTAAACAATAGTTTAGACCAGATATATTTGCAGAAGTGGTTGCTTATTACAGTTGTTGTATGTTGTTTTGGACCAAAAATTGATGCCCACAGTCGCGTTACACAGGTGGTCGTTTAATATAGGTAACTTATACGAAGACTCTATGGATAAACTATTTTGTGCCAGAAATTTTTGCCCGTTTTGACAGATGCCCGTCGAATGCAGGTGGTCGCCTAATCAGTTTTCACTGTATTATTATTAAACAAATCTTTTCTAAAATTTGCACTCATTAAACTTCAAATGTCATTAATCTTCCTTCTTAAATATGTTATGTACAGCTTTCATTTATTTCAATCTTGGAGTTTGAGGTTAGAAGAGTTTTCAGTCTATATAGAAGTTTGGGTAATGTTGTGATCAGAAATGTACTCTCATTTATATCATTTAGCCTACAATAAAATTGGTTACTTTTATACATTGTTTTGTTTAACCCTGTATTTATTAAACACACAATTTTACTATGTAAATTACTGTTGTCCATTTTCTAAAGAAATACAATTTAAAGCTTTACATAACTTTTTTTGTAAAATTACTGAAAAATTTTTGAAATAAATGTTCTTAGAAAGTTCTAATTGATAATTTAATCTCAGTAGTCAGATGAGTAATTGAAATAATATATAGTAAATACACTTTAATCCAATTCATTAAAGGTGTTATTGACTATTAATATTCTTGCATAATATATTAACTTACTGTATTTGTTTTTGATGAAGATTTGCCTTCATTTCAGGAGTTAGCATTTCTAATGCATCTAAACCATCCAATGTTTTTTTAATTAATTCATAATGGCTTCTTTTTATCTAGAATAAAAACATAAAAAATTTTACAATTACAAGACAGCTGTAAGCTCTCCATTAAATATGTTAGACTTAATTATGAAACAATTATAGAATTTTAAATACAGTAGAGCGTCGTTTATCCGAAAGCTGGTTATCCGAAAGCATTCCAGTCAGCAAATTTAAATTTTCGCTAGTGCTGTGGCGCTGCAATCTTCGGCTATTCAAATATTTTACGTTTTTGATACTAAAGTAACATCTGAAGTATAATTTTTTATTGTTTTTATATTTTTCAATATATTTATTTTGTTTGTACAAAATAAAAAAATAATTTTTAACGATACAAGAGTCTTCGTTAGGCTTAACATCGACGAAAATTCAACGCGAAGCGACACGCAACGGAGAAAAATTTCAACACGGGATAAATTAATATATTTTTTCGTACATGATTTGTTATCCGAACCACCCCAGTCCTCAATTGATTCGGATAAACGACGCTCTACTGTACTACAATGTATGTATAAATGAGACTCAAAAATAATTTTTGCATTATTAAATTTCTATAATTACATTATCTATTTTTTACATTGTATTTATTCTTAAACACACAGTAAAACCTGTGTAAAGAGGACCAAATATTTTTTTGTCAGTTTGGCAGGTTTTCATTTCGAACAATTTTTTTTTAAAAGAAAAATGCTGTTTCAAAGAATTTTTTCCATTCAGTAGATAACAACTTTTTAAATTCCATCAGGTTTTACATAAATAAAAATAATTCTAATAATTTCTTGATATTTTATTATATTGATTGAAATCTACAACAACATTGAGAAGTCTAAAAAATCATTCCATAAAGTTTATTGTAATGAAACATTACCTTTTTGTTTTCTTAATCACTCTAATTGAAAACAAAATATTTTATATGATTTACCTTATAAAATTAGAAGTTTATAGCATTTAGAGTGGCTAAGACATTATTTTAAATTTAGAAAATAAATACTTACAGAAATGAGAACATATTCATCATCCGAACAACTTGATTTTTGTTTCTTCAATGTAGCAACTTGGTCGGAAAAGCTATTTTCTTGAAAGTTTCTTGAAAAACCTGAATATTTAATGTTATTACATCACAATATGAATTTCTAGAAAGCAAAGATGTGTAATTAAAAAAATTTTGAAGTATTTACTTCTTTTATTTGAATCCTTTTGAGAATCTTCGTAACATTTTTCTTCTATTCTTCTATCTCTACCAGGACAAGCGCATATACGAACATCTATGACTCTTCTACCTAAACAACACCCACTGTGAAAACATTAAATATCAGAAATGAGGAACAGTATTTTGACCTGTATAAATGATAAATTATAAAAATCCAGATCCTCAAAAATTATCTGTACATACAAGGAAGTCATTTGATATAGATTTTGCAATCACCAGACAATTCTGTCATCCTTTTAGGAGATATAGTTTAAGCCTACTGTTTGTAGCAGCATTCTCAGTAGCCAAATATAGATACAAACAGTTCTTTGTTAAAAACCAATGATATCATATTTAAAAAACACACATACACTATACTTTGAGGCCAATCTTTACACAGTATTAAAAGTTTTTTTAAAACAGCACTCAGGTCATTCATACTGAAAATATTTTTAATACTGTGTTGTTCACGTCAGATCCTCGAAGATAAAGTCAATATCAAATGTATAATGTATGTGTTTTTTTCTTTTTTTAATATCATATTGTAGACTTTTAACAAAGAACTGTTTGTATCATTCTGTTATGAACCATCTGTACCTGATTGAAATCTTAAAAAAAGAATAAAGTCTTTAAACTGGTCCAGAATTATTTGTATGGTCATTATTTGAATAAGTAAATTAATTCTTGGGACTTTATAATTCATTGCTATAAGAACTTTTATTTTACACTTCGTCAGAGACTGCATATTAATCAGTAAAACAAAACTTACTCTAACACCTTGTAAACGTGCAGCCAAATTTATTAACTTCTAACGTTTTCGGTCATTTAACATGACCAAAAACATTAGAAGTTAATAAATTTGTCTGCACGTTTACAAGGTGTTAGAGTAAGTTTTGTTTTACTTTTATTTTACATATAAGATTAAACATTATTATTTAATTATTAATAGTTAGTTTTAACATCATTTACCCCTTTTCAAATTTGAAGCTATAAGACTAACTTGCTTTAAATTTTGAACACTCCCATTTATAAAATAATCTCTCTCATTTAACTTTATATACCTTTCAAGGTAATTTTTCATGTGTATTATGTTTAGAAAATTATATATTTTAACATAATAAATAAAAATTTAATAAACTGATACATAAGCAACTTCAAACTATTTCTCATTTAAAATTCATTTATTGTATTGGTGTGAAGTACTATTAGTAATTGAATTTTTTGCAGATACAATCATAAATATTATATCTATATACTAATAAGATTTTAATTAAATAATGATTTTTACAATTTTGGTAAGCCCACGTAACTGACATTGGCACATTTAAGTTTATATATTTATTTATAATATAAAAATATAGTTAAATATTCTAAAAATAATTCATTGTTCTCACTCTTTTTCTAAGGTAAAAGCCAATTGGAGAGGTCTTCTATTCAAACCTCCTACACAGCTTCCAAGGCACATAAACCTAAAGAGGTATGTTGAATATTCCATGCCAACTGTAAATATAAGTAACAAAATAAAATTAAAAAAAGTAAATAAATAAACAAAATTTCATTAAATTGTTCTTCATTAAAATAATCATTCAGCATCTTAACTTTTTATGCTTAATTTCTAAATTTAATGAATTAAAATTGATATTTAACAATAACAAATTTTTGTGAAAGTCATTTTCATACTAATTAAATATAGATAAAATTGATGATTTCTAATGAAATGTTCTTTGTGGATCAAAAAACATCAGAAAGTCACATGATCACATGACTAAAGAACTACAAGGAAGATGTGTTAAGTGTTTCATATTACACACAATGCACGTGTGTAACATCAGGGCTTACATTTTATGCCAAAAATCTATACAATTTACAAGGTCAACGTGCTTTAATGAAATCACCAGAAGAGTGGATGCAGGAGCACACGTCATGGGTGCAATGAGTAAATTTTCAAGAGATAAAATATCCAAACAGACACAAATAGCTGTGTATGGAAGTGTTGTGGTGCCTGTGCTCATATGGTAGCAAAACTTATGATATGAAAGAAGAGTCACAGGATTTGCATTACCACATGGGAAATAAGGTATTTGAGAGGAGTGTGTGGTATAATGAGGACAGACTTTGTGAGAAATGAACAAAAGTTGGAGGAATGTGATATGAAAAAGTGTGGTTCAAAATCAGCTCTACAATTGTTTGGCCACATTGAGAGAATGAAAGGGAGGAGCATTGAAAAGTGTATATGGGAAAAGATGGATGGAAACTGTGGTAAAGAAAGGCTGAGAAAATCTTGGTTGGAACAAATGGATGAGTATATGTAAGGTGTTGAGTCAGAAAGAGAATATGAGGATTTTGCTAGAAGAGGCATAAGTGTGTCTGAAGCAAAGGTGGTGTGTCTGGACAGGAAGGTTTGGAGAAAGTTGCAGAATGGATGATTTGTAGTATTGTAGTCTACTTTTGCCTACTTCTCTCCCTTTTTGGACTATGAGTGTGAGGTTATCTATATGTATTTATGTAATTTTCTTTAATTGCAGTCTGACCAACAGTTTCAATTCTAGAAACAGCAAACCATCAGATAAATACCCTGTAGTCAAACTTGGATGCTGTGATTAAATACATTGACATTTGGAATCACTGCTATTGTATTTAAACTTGACTTATTACAGCTAACAACAATACCACTTTGAGCTAACACAAGACCACGTAATCTAAACATGTGTAGTAGTCCAGAACATTGTTCAATTGGAGTACAACATCAGAAATGAAAACTATTTGAATCTTCCTTATAATATTACTGAACTAATCTATGTTAAGATGGCCATAGAATATATTATTATTAAAATATGTGCAAATAATCACTATTAGTTAAAATTGCTATTTGACTTACCTTGTGGACTTTTATAAGGAACAGTTACACTCAAACGTCCTGTGGCTAAATCCTGTGTATAATCAGTGAAATCGTCATCGCATCGTATCAAATGATCAGGAGCTGGATGACCTAAATAAATTATGATAATGATGATGTCATTTTAAATATTCATGAGTAACCATATTATCTAAATATAAATTCTTAACATTTTCTATACTGTGCACACATTATTTACAAAAAATATGTTATAAGAGCTATAATTTTATTTTCTTTATCATACAATATGACTTAAAACACTTCATGAAAAATAATTTTATGAATGAGTATTGCTCTGTTCTATTAAAATTTAAATATTTAATTTTATAATATAATCAAGATGGGTTCATTATGATGATGATGATGATGATAATAACTCTCCCATGGTCACCACCTGGTCGTGGTGGAAGAGCCCAGTAATTTTACTGATCCATAGTGCAATGCAGGCTAGAGCAAAAGCTCCTGGTAGGGACACCCATGCCAGTAAGGTCTCTGGGGAGAAATGAAGCTAAGAGTGACCACATCCACAATCTGTGGAGATATTTATCATGATAGTAACCAGATCTAAGTGTGATACCAGCTCGGACGTCACCCAGGTTAACAAGGTCCATGTACGTGGGTTAGGCAGAGGCTCACATTCAAAAAATAGGCCACAGTCTCCCTTGGTTACCGGTGACGAAAGCAGCACTGGCCCAAGAGTGGCTACTGCAATGCCCTCGAGAGAAGTGAGGAACCTTCCTAGACCTTGTGTTTCTGTGACAATGCACCCACAGACCACAAAGGCTGGAAAACCATGCCAATGGATGAAATGGACAATAGAAATGAATGAGTTTATTATCCATACTTACTACACCATCACAAAACTCAAAGCAAACATGACAGCGTACAGACAACAACTACACCATAGATTCGCACAATATCCTCACCTCACTTGTTGATAAAAAAAAAAACAATTATACAGAACAACCTTATCCCACAAACAACAGGTTACTGATCAAATACATCAACAGACAGAAACATTTAACATTAATGAAGATCACATAACCTGTCAGGATAACACAGCAACAAGCACTGATTACAGCACACACACAACTACTACCACTAATGATACTTCCTCATCCACCACTGATAACAGTTAAAATTTGAACTCTGGGCATTCCAAAGTTAGAACACCATCGAACATAAAGCTGGTCTCGATAGAGATTCGAAAACGTTTGTTCTTGCATCTAAATATAGTACCTTACTGGAAATAAAAAGGTTCTGAATAGGTTAGTTACAAGTTCCAGTATTCAAATAGTGTAAATTTGACAACATAAACATAGAAATGTTCACTAAATATACAGACACAGATACCACACAAAGACCACAAATACCAAAAATCAACACGTCAAAGAAAGTAGGAAAAACACTAAATTATGTAAACACTCGCTTACTATTATACTACATTCATTCAAGTTCTACACTCTCAGATATTCATACATTAGTTTATGCTGGGAAAGTAACAGTAGTGACACACCATGGAATGAAAATACAATCACAGACAGATACACAGAAAACACAATTCTATCACAAGCCTGCCTGGCAGAGAAGAAACAGAAACACAAATAAATGATATTAGATAGCAATTAGGCAGGCTGGCACAGTACACTAAAAACAACATAACACTCAAAGAAACAACTCAAAAATATTTTCAAGAAAATCAAAACACACACATTACAGAATACATTGATACACTAAAACAAAAACTTGCAGCCAAAGCACATAGACTCAAAACGATACAAACCATGTACAGTACAAAAACAACAAAATAAATTATTTACAATGAAAAACTCTTTTACAGACAAATTGATAACAAAACAAACACTGATACACACCAATAGAAGAATAACTCACAACATATTGGTCTTCTCTTTCATCCAGTGCTGTCATACACAATGAAGGAGAACAAAAACTTGCACAACATACCAACTATACCCTGTGCTGAAATAAACATACATGACATCCACTACGCTCTTAACAGAACACACAACTGGAAGACACCTGGTGTAGACAACATTCACAATTTCTGGTACAAAAAGTTTACATCACTGCACCAGGAACTAGCTAAACACTTAACACACATCATCATCAATCCACAAGACATGCCAAAATTTCTTACTCAGGGCATCACCTACATGAAATCTAAAAACACCACCACCACAGACTCCACACAATACAGACCAATTACATGTCTCCCAACATTCTATAAATTATTGACATTCTGTATTGCGAACAAAATATGCAAACATGTTGAAGAACATGATATTCTTATGGAACAACAAAAAGGTTGCTGTAGAAATCACGGGATGCAAAGAACAGTTACTCATAGATTCAGTCATTCTACGGCAAGCACACAAACAACACAGAAACATACACATGGCATATATAGACTACAGAAAAGCTTCCGATAGCATTCCACACAGTTGGCTGCTACATATTCTACACATGTACAAAATACATCCATCACTCATTGCATTCTTCCAAAACACTATGCAGCACTGGAGAACAACACTACATCTCAGGGTTCATAACAATTCCATACAAACAAACCAAATATTAGGTGAGGAATTTTTCAAGGAGATTCCTTGAGTCTTCTCTGGTTCTGCCTAGCCTTGAACCCATTATCCAACATGTTAAACAATACACAATATGGCTACAATATCAGACATGAAAAAACAACACAGTTTACACTGTCACATCGCATGTACTGTACATGGATGACATAAAACTTTATGCATCCACACGAAAACAACTTCATCAACTCTTACAAATCACACATTCATACACCAAGGACATACAAATGGAGTTTGGCTTAGACAAATGCAAAACACTTCACATAGAAAAAGGAATCCTGAAGAAAGAAGATTTTGCACTTGGAAATGGGGACGTTATTCAATCTATGGAAGAGGGCAAGTCCTACAAGTATTTAGGATTCCAACAGGCCAAACTCCATACAGAACATACACAAATAAAGCAAAGATTAATTAAAAAATACCAAAGTAGGTTAAATGCTATCCTCAGAACACAGTTAAATGCAAAACACACAGTTAAAACAATAAACACATATGTCATCCCAGTACTCACATACTCTTTTGGAGTTATACATTGGACTCACACAGATCTTGAGCAACTCTAAAGGAAAACAAGAACAACGCTTACTAAACATAAACAACATCATCCTAAATCAGCCACAGAAAGATTAACCCTTCCACGTAAAGATGGCAGACATGGCCTGATTGACATAGTTAACCTTCACTACAAACAAATACAGTCACTGCAAGAGTTTTTCTACAGGAAACAAGAAACATCACAATTACATAAAGCAGTAACTCTAGCAGACTCAAATAACACACCATTAAACTTACACTCACATCATATGGATACAAAACAACATATAAAAAGCATAGACACCATTAAGCAATCATGGGCTCGAAAGGCACTCCATGGTAGGCATTCTTATGACCTGGCCCAGGATTTTGTTGACAAAACTGTGTCAAACAGTTGGTTAGATCGAGGATGCCTCTTTGGGGAGATGGAAGGATTCCAAAGGATTCATGATTACCATGCAGGATCAGGTACATAAATACAGAAAATGTCACATCATGCCATAAACTATACAACACATTACATCTGGGTGCAAGCTCTTGGCACAGACATAATCAAATAGCAAATATAATACACCAAAAGCTTATAAACAAACAAATTATTACACATCTACAAACCAAATTACAAATACATTCCACAGACAATATTGGAAAACAACACGCACAAAATATACTAGGACAGAGCCATAATCACAAAACAATTTACCACAACAGACCAGACATCACATTCATTGACAAACACAATAAAATCACATATATTATAGACATATCCATTCCAAACATTCAAAATATACAAAACACACTCACTGAAAAAAATTAGCAAGTACACAGAACTCGCCCAGGAAATCAGGCATCTGTGGAGGATGGATAGGGTGTTTATTGTACCTGTCATTCTCTCCTGTACAGGTATGATACCACACACACTATACAAAAGCCTGGAAACATTACAATTGAATAGAAATACATACATCACACCACAGAAGGCCACTATACTGAATACATGCCATATTGTTAGGAAATTCCTGAATACAGACACAGACACACTTATTTAATTTTAGTTTTTGGTTGCTAAGCCTTGACTCTGGTTCAGCATAGTACACAGCCACTGGAGTGAACCGAGTATAACCCACTAAACCCAACATAATAATAAGCACAGAGCAGAAATGGTTAGGAGTTGAAAGTTGAAATTTGGTACACAGTTAGGGTATACCATGTGAATGCACGCTAAAAAGAAATTTTTGGAAATTCTCCCCGTGGGGGGAGAGGTCAAAGGTTAAGGATAGCTCTGAAGAACTTGGCTTCTACTGTACTATTTTTGATGTGGTATTTTGCATTTTTGCAGAAAATCAAACATACTTTATGGACTCATCTAAAAATTCTCTAACTAGCCTTGGAATAGGAGAACCTAATTCTTGCACCCAGTGAAAATGGGTAAGATTAGCTATAATCTAATAATCTTAATCTTCGCTATCATTACTCTCTTTTTTTGTCCGAAAATCACCGGGCTCATCTGTTAGTTCTTCTAATAACTTATTTGCAGTTCTTAATTCTTAGACTTAAATTATTATTTACACATAACTCATTATTTCTGATTAATTTTTTTTATCTGCATGTTTTAAACAACTAATAGCCAATAATAATAATAGTAATAATAATCTAAAATAGTTCTTCACCTTCCTCTTTTTATATAAATATGAATAGCCATATTTATTTACATTTATTTAAATAATCAACAATGTACATTCACATTTAGTCAATAATTCTTATGTTATTCTAAGCTCTACTACTGTATATCTATGTGATATGAAATGATTATTATTCATTATTTGAAATTATCAATAATTATAATAATAAAAAAATGCTTTACTGTTGCATTAAAAAGTATGTAAAAACTATCAGCAGAAATTGAACAGGTTAGCAGTATAGCAGAAAACAGCATTAGCTGCTTAACTATCACTTGGCCAGATATCTGTGTAGGACTGATAGACATTTGTTGTCCTAGTTTTCAAGGGTGTTTTTTCAAAACTGACTGCATATTACATGCTAGCACTTCCCTATGTTTTAGTACTAGCAAAGCACTAGTATAGAAATAAATTTCATTCAAATCAATATCCTGAAGCCCGATGTATTGATACTAAGTTAAACGATCACTGTAATTAATTGGGCTATTATTATGCTAATTCCAAATTACTTAGTTTCTACTTATTAATTATAGCATAATAGTAACCTAATTAATTACGACAATCATTTGGCTAAGTTTCATTCAGATCAGTTTCCCAATCCTTGTGCTCTCTCCTTGTGAATTGCTAATAAATGCAACTCAAATATTTTGGATTCACATATACCGTATTTTACAGACTATAAGACGCACTTTTTTCTTCAAAAAATTGTCTCCAAAATTCAGGTGCGTCTTATACTCAAAATTAATATAAAAATGTCCAGTGTTTGATTTAAAATTCCAGTGTCTTAAAAATGGCCATATATTTGATGCCGTGGAAAACCTATCTCTATCTGGCAACATTGAATTCAACCAGCAGCAGCAGTGCACCGATGCGATGAACATGAGTTGGGGGGGTGTCCGGATAGAATCGTCTGGACGTACGATTCCTGTGCTTTTTCTCTTTTCAAATGAGCAATGGTTGTTGCCATAGAAACTCAGATCATGAGACAATCAGTGGTTCTGAATACATGACCGCAGATTGGCCAGCAATCATCATATGATCAGCAGACGTCTGATAGCGCTACTAAGTTTCGATTGGTGGATCAGCGTTTGCTTCAATCTGTATAAAAGGATTGAATTTAGGTGGTAAAAATGTTATTTTTTTAAAAAAATTGCTTAAAAATTAAGGTGCATCTTATAGTCCATAAAATACGGTATGTAGAAAACTGTCATATTTGAATGTTTTACTAATTTGAATAGTAATTAAACTAAAATGTTTTATAATAGATTACAATATTACTATAGATTTAACTGTTATTTGTTTTTGCCGATTTTCTTGCATTATAATCCTTGCTATCCAATTGTTCTAATTTTTTAATACTACAAGAGAAAAACTGAGATGGGAACATTTATTCTGGATTATTATTTCGAACTGTTAGTTACTAAAGAATTGATTTGATAATTTATGAACACTTTATAAGATTTTTATGATATATATGTTACAGTCAAAACCCGTTTTTAGTTAGAACGCGTTTTAACTAGTTGAAACTAGTTTATACTGAATGTCTTTGTTAAAACCCGTTTTGTCTAGTTAAAACTAGTTTTAACTCAAATTCATTTTTGACTAACAGTAAATTCTAGTTTTAACTAGACAAAACCGGTTTTGTCTAGTTAATTTACTGCTGTACATGTTTTGACTTTAGATAAAACTAGTTTTAACTTTTAACATTAGTTAAAACTAATTTTAGCTACATAAATATGTTTGGGGGAAATAAAGTTATGTATAGTGATTCGGCGGAAGATGCCTAACATTTTGCTTATGAAGAAAATTACAGCGCTAATTTGAGTTTAGGAGCCCTCTAATGAAAATATCATATTCTGGAGTATGTCTTTCAAATAAAAGTTTGGAGTTTATTTTAAAAAATTCTATACTGTGTTTGCAATGACGACTTTTTCACTGTCTGGCATTTTAAGCATCTCACCCCAAGTATCTGGGTGAGATGCCAAATGCCATTAGGGTAAGATAACAAATATAATTGCTTAAAATTAATTTTTGAATTTCTTAACCAAATTTAATTTATTGCATATGTAGTACAAAGTACTTCATAGTAAGTATAACAGCACAGTATAAGTATTGTTAAGTTTCCGCCCGTTCTAACGTGTTCTATAGCTAGCTGAAAGCTTTTTTCAGTCCAAAAACTTTTTTGAGAAGTCCTTATATAATTTCTATGCATATCCTGCAATAAAACGAGAAAACAAAAGTTTATTAAAAATAGGCATATTGGAAATCAATTAACAAAAAATAGGCACGTTACCCCAAGAAAAATGTGGCATATTTTCCATTTGTTGGGGTAAGATGCCTAGTAGAGTCACGTGCTCCAGCATGTCCGATCGGGATCGGCGGTAGCTGACAATGGAAACTTTAGAACCTTAACTACATCACACATTAATTGTTTTTAGCAATTTTTAATAAATTCCATTTTAACTTTTAGTTTAAAATTATTCTAGAAACATTTCACAACAAAAACTTCGTTCTTATCTAGCTTTTATTCTTCTCGGATGTAGAAAATGAAGTAACGGTAGCCAACTACAGCTTTCCGCACTCAATATTGGCCCAACGATTCATCATACAAATACATGACAATATGTGACGTCACCGTTTGAAAATATCAAAAATTAGGCATCTTCCCCCGCTTACCATCTTACCCCGAATCACTCTATGCGTTGCAGTCAAACCAGTTTTTAGTTAGGATGCGTTTTAACTAGTTAAAACTAGTTTATACTGGATGTCTTTGTTAAAACCCGTTTTGTCTAGTTAAAACTAGAATTTACTGCTAGTCAAAAATGAATTTGAGTTAAAACTAGTTTTAACTAGACAAAACGGGTTTTAACAAAGACATTCAGTATAAACTAGTTTCGACTAGACAAAACGGGTTTTAACAAAGACATTCAGTATAAACTAGTTTCAACTAGTTAAAACGCGTTATAACTAAAAACGGGTTTTGACTGTAACATATACAACCCACAGCTAGGTATATACAGGGTGTATCAGAATGACATTTTAAAAATTTGGGGATTGTAGAGGATGAAATTTTGAACGTTTTGATATAAGGAATCTATAGCCGGAAATAAGATATAAAGTTTCTACAGCACTTTGCACGTTCTATGCAGTCAGTATGCTGAATGAAACAGCAGAATACAGTATTTATGACAAGTTTTATTGACAAAACAGTAGAGTACAATCAAACTGTACATCGAATCAGTGGCTGCACTACTTCAGAGTAAATGTTCAATGTGCCGACCACCAACTTTGTTACATAATGTGCAACGACAAATCATGTTTTGTCCTATTCTCTGTAAGATGCCACACTCCCCTCTGATGGTATTAAATGCTGTAAGGATGCACTCTAAGCTTATAAACTGTTCCTATAGGTGTTATGAACACAAGGGACTCACGTTGACTAGCTGTGTGTTTACAGCATAGTGCCAGTGGATGCAATGGGTGACCTGAAGGACGACAGGCACTAAGTACACAACGTCCTGTACACAGGCTCAGTTAGACCACTGTAGTTGTATGTTTACAGTCTTCCATCCACAGCAATAACATGATGTCAATGGACCAAAGGGTAGCTACCAAAGTGAAGAGTGGTCAAGCATTTCCTACCGCTGTAGACACTTTAGTTCAAATTTCCGGCTATAGATTCCTTATATCAAAACGTTCAAAATTTCATCTTCTACAATCCCCCAAATTTTTAAAATGTCATTCTGAAACACTCTGTATATGGGTTACAACTCATAATTCATATAACCTGGAGAAAATTGCTACAATGAAAGTAAAATAATTTGCATAGCCCATACTCCTTTAAAATAGCTTTTTAAATACAGATTACATGCATATGCATAAAAACACAGTAATTATGATATGATTGAATGAGAAATGAGCAATTATTTACTGTGATGTCATAATGCCAGGCTGCAATTTTTAATTTATTTAATTTAAAATATATGCTTTCAATTTTAGTATCATCATGCCTCTATACATCATACTTTTCTTGTTAACAACAGAGTCATGCCCTAACTCACTCCAAGAGTTAGGTGACAGGTCAGAGATATTTTTGAATTGAAATAATATGACTTCCAGTCTGGATCAGAAGTTCATATATAATTAATTGGGACCTCCTACCCTTAAGCTTTCTACAACTGGTTTCGACTTTCATCTATCTAACTCCATTCTCAGGAATGGACAGACAGACACTAGTGGTCACTTATAGGTCTGCAATTTGAAAATTGCATCCCAGTGACTTCTCATTCATACTTCTGAATGACCGTAGGATCTTTCCATGTATTGTGATAATGATGATATCTTATTTTATACTTGAGTTACAATCATTATATATTTATAATAATTTGATGTGAAAAAGAAAATTATATGATATATTTTTATACATTAGAAAAATTAAAACAATTACCCTCATTTAATGGATCAGTTGGAAGAGAATGATTTAGACATCTTTTAACCACATCCATAATATGTTCCGGTTTGGAAAAAATGGGTAATGCTCTAATAACAGAGCCTTCAGGAGGTGTCTTTAAAACATGAAATCTTATTGGACAAGGCACTGCTATGTTCACGTACAATTTGTTTTTAACGTCGGAATACTGAAATGAAAAAATATTTACAATGTATTTATTTATCATCAATAATAAAATTGTTATGTAATGAAACATACTGTCCAATTTGTGCATCTTGTATTTTTTTCATGAGGTGCAAATGAAATATTGAATCCATACTCCCCAGCCCAATCGTTACTGAAAATAAAAGTAAAAATTTAATTAATAAATACACAAAAATTTTCAGACAGAAAATCAATAAAATTTGCAAAAATTAGGTAAAAATCATTTATAATTGATTAAATTTTTTACATTCAACAAAAATACCATTACTAGATATTTTTTCCATAAGTAAGCTCTAGGCTTAATTACAGAAATGAGATCTAGACTAGGGATTGCAATCCAGCAGTGTTTTCAATCCAGCTGGATCCAGCACAGATGTATTTTTGGTGCAATAACGTGTTATCTATCTATCCATTTTTAAATTAAAATTTATTTTTAAAATTTATGGTTTTTTTGAAAGAAATAAAACATTATTTTTTAAATACAGCTGTCCCTTGATAGTCCAACGTTTTGTATCTGATACATGCTCAGTAGTCCGATGCACCTCCTGTCAAGGTACCCGTCCCCGTTACGTGTCTGCTTGCACAGAAGCATGTCGCGACGTGAATCTCCCCACCAAATTCTTATACGACGACACACATTTCGTGTGTTTTCCGCAAGCAGTTCTGTTCGAACAGTTGGAATAGGGAATATTGTAGGCTACTGCTAGCAAAACAATGCCAAATATGTAATCACTTTCGGTAATCCGGACACTTTTGGTAATCCAACACCCCTTTGGTCCCATACTTGTTGGATTATCAAGGGACAGCTGTACTTAAGAAACTTTTATTATTTAGACTGGTCACTATAAATCAGTAAAACTTCTTACACATTTAGGTAGTAACTTTGGTTTAGTTTAACACTTGAGATAGAGATAATTAACTTTAAATGTTTAGTTAAATTATAATTATAATGCAATCTTTAAGTTAAATAATAGGAAAAATAATTCTACAAATTAATTTATATTATTGATAATATATTATATTATAATAATGTAAGAATGGATAATCAGTGGCTAAGTAGCTATCGGTCTTACCAGTTTTCTTATATAGGCTCTACATATCAGTCTGTAGTTATTTATAAGTAATTTAATTATTAGTGTTAGTAAAGTAGTGAGTAAGTAATTAGTAGTAGTCTAGTAGTTAATTAAAGAACTTAGCTTCTATTGTACTATTTCAGATGCAGTTTTTGTATTTTTGACTGTGATTAAGTAGGGTATGCCACAAGAATGCACATTAAGAAGGATTTTTGAAAAATCCCACCCTACAGAGGAGAGGGAGAGGGTAAAGAATTATCCTGAATTAAGATTTTACTGTACCATTTTAAATGTGGTTTTTTGCAAGAAATCGAACATGTTTTCAGACCCATCTAAAAAGTCTCTAATTAGTCTCAGAAGAGGGTGAACCAAATTCTTGCACCCAAGATTGTAAGATTGGCTATAATCTAATAATCTCAATTTTTGCTATTGTTACTTTTTGCTCAAGCAATGCTAGGTTCATCTGCTAGTAACAAATAATAATTAAATGCTTACTTTGCAGGAATATTTCCATGAGATATATGGGGCGATGCTACCGTCTCATTACTTTTGGGTAGTATGTTTCGATGAGATGAAGTGGGAATCTAAAAATCATAAAAAATTTAAATCAAATAAATGAAATGTAAACAAATACCAAATTTGAAAATTATCAAAATTTGAAGAAATAACTTTTGTTAGTTCAAAAAGTAAATGAAATTTAAGATGCCTTTGAAATCAGTTATAAAGACTTTTCAAAATCTATTGAAATAACATGCAAATGTCAGTGTTAAAAAATTAAATGGTACACATTTCAAGAGGGGAAAAAAATATCTTAAAGCACACAAATGCATGTACACTTTATATGAAGTGTACATTTTAAGAATTTACAGAAGAATGACAAGAATATACGTGGTGTGTTCAAAAAGTATCGGACCTTTGGTCGGCAAAAATAAATTTATTGACTTTGAGGTACAAAACCCTAATCCCATTCAAAGTAGTCTCCTAGGTAATGTATACACTTCTCCCAGCGTTCCTGCCATTGCTGGAAACACTGCTGGAACGCATCTTTTGGAATGGCCATCAGCCGGTCCGTCGGATTCCGCACGATGTCTTCTCTCGACTAAATTCAGGTTCCTTTTAGCAGCATTTTCAGCTTGGGAAATAGCCAAAAGTCACACGGAGCCACATGGGGAGAGTACAGAGCGTGACGAACCACAGGAGTATTGTGTTTGGCGACGAAAGCCCGAATCAGATGTGCAGAATGGGCGGATGCATTATCACGATGGAGCTGTCAAGTTTTGATCAACCACAAATCCGGTCGTTTGCGTCGCACTGTATTGGAAAGACGACGAAGGACCTCCTGGTAGTACTCCTTTGCGATAGTTTGGCCTTGTGGTGCGTACTCACGACACATCACCCCATGAGAGTCGAAAAAACTGTCAACATGACCTTTGATATTGCTGCGGACCTGCCGCACTTTTTTTGGCCTCAAGGATCGTCCCCGAAAGCCTGCTGAATCTTGCAAATGGTTTACGCTCGGGTATCGCCAAGGTTTTTGGCAAAATTTGATGTAATACCGCTACTCACGTTGTTCAGTCATTTTCCAGCTTAGTGGAATCCGACGAGAGCGCACTACATGACCTCACTCATAGGCCGATTGCCAACGACTGACGTTTCCTGCAGGCGGGAAAAAATTCAGGGCTGTCTATGACTGTCCCCTCCACAACTCCACCGAAGGAGGCCTCTCGGCCATCATTGGTTTACGCGGAAAAAAAAAAGGTCCGATACTTTTTGAACAGACCACGTACAATAAAAATTTTATTGTATATCCAAAGAGCATCAAACAAGCTGACAAAACAAACACATTCTTATATGTGAGGTATGGTCTTATAAGCTAAGCAGGATGTGTGTTTTAAAAATACAAAGCCAATTTTCACAAATAAAAGCATGTTCTTATTTGTGCAGAAATATGGTAATAATAATGATATAAACATACTCAAAGCCACAGTAATGTAAAAACTATCATTAACATATTATAATCCAGTATTGGCTAAGTATTAAAAATCTTTAATATAGATCTACTTTCAAATGTGTGGAGTGTTGTTTAAATAATTTACTACTGTACATGCTTGTATTTTTGTAATTAAATTTTTTAAATTTAAATTCTGTCTATGCATATAGTTCCTATTATTTCAACTTTATTTTTTCTGTAGTATTTTCTTCACATACTGTACATGCAACTTTCTTTCTCAAACCTAACAGTATTGGTCAATTTTTAAATTTTGCATGCACTCTTTCAATTTAAATGTTTGACTTCTTCCAAAGCATTTCTTCTATTTTAACAATTATTGTTGGATACAAAAGGTTTAATTATTTGTTTTATTTACTTCCCTCAGTTTCTTTCTGTTGTTGTTATTTAAAATTCAAAATTGAAATGGCAGAGTTCATTGAGAAAACAGAATATTAAATATAAGTTTATTATTTTTTCAGCATGTTATAAATGCATACATACATTGAACGAACTAAGAGTGGTGACTTCGGGTAACGGCATTCTTGCATTTTCGATGTCATTAATATTTTCATTCTGAAATAAATACATATTTTATATTTCAAATGAAAAACAATTCCTGAAAGTAAAAAATTTCACAATTAGCATAACATTTTTAAATTGAGAAACTACTTTATTTAAGCTATTCAATCGATTAATTTGAATATATTTAATAATAAAAAGTTTAAAATATTTATTATATTAAGATGTAAGTTGACTATGTAAGTACTTAACTAAAAACTACAACTCTAAAAATGAAATAGCTTTCACTGCCAGAATTAGGTCCCTTTAGCTTTTTGTTTTTTTAACAAAAAATATGTAGAATGTTCTTTATTAATAAAAACAAATCGTAAAGATTTTAATTTCTGTTAATAAACATAACATCAATCTTATAGGGGCCACTAAGTTTTCTTGAGTCTGGGGAAAACTTCTCTACTCCTCCTCTCATTTGAGGGGAGGAGGGGTCTTTTGAGGAGGGTATATAAAAATATAATTTGTTGTTGTCTATCAACTTTAAAAGATGATCATCTCATATTTTAATATTTAACTTCCTTTTCAGTGATTAACACAACACAAACAAAAGACACATTTCAAAAGTCAAACTGACAAGTGCACAAAAACAGAAATTTGCAGCAAGTGCCAATTGTCCAGGTCACTTTTTCTCTTAATGCTACCTAGATGCTTATTTAAGATACGATTGGCTGTTCAACAAAATTAGTTTATTTATTTATAAATATGCATGTCATCATATCATTTGCAGTTGTTTCCAGCCTCTGGCTGGGTCAACTAAATTCATTTGTTCCAGTTTAAACAATCTGTCAACCTGCTTTTCTCTACTTCACCAATCCCTAGATATAAGTAGCAACAAATAACAGAATACCATTTTCTGATAATTCCCAAACATACTGTTTGCAATATAAACTATCATAATTTTTTGCACGTATTTTTCAAATAAAAGAACAAATAAGCTTCTGTTAACTTAAAAAGTAATTAAATGAATAAAGTGCAGTAAATTTCACAAAAAGGAAATAAATCTTTTTTGACTAAATGACGAAAAAAGAATAGAAATATTTTTTCTCATACTGACATTTTATAAGAACGAATTGTTCTGCTATTCCAACAAATGTTAAACAGAGGGACAATCTGGGAAAAGCCTCCACATTAAAAACACCCATACATGGGAACATATCAGAGATGGAGGCCCTTGAAATTTTCAAGGCAACCAGGGAAGCGAACTGCATTAACAAGGAAGAAAGAACCATTTTGAAGCATGGCAAGCATGTTTTGACACCACCTTATAAATGCATATCAATGCATTGCATAATGTGCACGTGACAGCAGAATTTAAAACATGTATTAAATTCAAACAAACATTAAACAAGCATTCCATTATTCAAATTTCCTGATGAAGACCTTCAGAGTAGAAAACTTTAAAAAGGTGATAATTTTGACAACTGCTGGACTAATTTGTCAGCTTTTATGTAGTAAATTGTCCAGTTAGAAGTTGAAAAACTGTTGACATTTTATAATTCTGTTTTAAATAATCATAAATAAAAATCATTATTCCTGCAAATAAGCTTTTCTAAAAGCTGATAACCAAGATATTATTAGATTTTTCTGTATACTTTTCAAGCAATAACTGATTTTCCATAGTTAATTTTGAATGCATTCAGTTCTATTTACTAATATTTATGGAATGTGAGTGAGAGTGCATGTATTATAATTATTTTAGTAATTTATACAAGTTAACAATTCTTTAATGTAATTCTGTTATAATGTAAACTCTAAAAATACTTCTACAAATTATTGGTAATGATTACCATAAATTTTAAATATAATAGCGAGATTGTGGCCGAAGTTTCCAATGTCCATGTTTTCGTGTTGAAAACATCAGTCGCAACCTCACTAATTAATAAATTTATTATGAGTACTTTTGTAATATGATTGTTTTTCAAATGTAATAATCTCACACAAGTAAACATTAATAAAAAAAATAAATAATTAATTAGTTTTAAATTAGAACAAAATATTTTTAATGACAAAAAATAATATTTTTCTGTTTAAATTTAATTAAAAATAACAAAAAAGTTTTAATTTGTCTAATGTACTATTTGACAATTTCTGTATATACAGCAAGAGACTATAGTTAAATTTCATGTACACATTTGACGGCAACAGAAAAATACCACTCTAATATCAAGTAATTGGTCCTAGATCAACTAAAGTTAACGATTATCAGTAAACACAACTGAAGGTTGTCATTGACTGTAATATCTAGCATTTCATCATCTATCATTCAATCATTAGCTCTAATCATCCTTTGTACAAACAAAGGATGATTAAAGCTAAAATTGATGATTATTTAAACATTTTTCTCAATAGCCTTTCTTTGGCTTTTACCATATATATAATCACTGTTTTTACAGTTATATGTAACAAACTCTTACTTCCAACTAAGTTCTTTGGTTTTAGCTTAAAAACAAGCTTTAAAATTTGTAACAAATTCATCCGAAATGCATAGCTTGTTTTTTTTTGAAAAATAAATGATTGTTTTTCTGTTCTGAGTATCTTTGGTGTAAGTTCTTTGTCTCTAATAAAAGGCAGATAAGGGGAAAAAACAAAAATCAATTTTAGATTTTTAGTTTTTGTTTTTAAAGCTTGTTTTTAAGCTAAAACTGTATATTATAAAAAATATTAAACTGTAATTATTTAGGAACAATCAGCAATTTTCATTAAAAATTTTTTGTTTTAGGTTTTCTTTATTATATTTTAAAAAATCCTAATTTTGGACCTGTGTCTAAAATAAACTTAATAAACATTTTACAAATTTTAATTGTTCAGAAATAGCTAATTAATAACCAATAACATAACCTGTTAAAACTATAACAATAATAATTTTGTAATTACAGTAGAGTCTCATATTAAACCTCATTATTCAATATATACATATATTGAACGGGCAGGTGTCAGATTATTGGATTTTGTATGTACATACTGTACGGTAAAAAATACATTTGGTTGTTAGGTTAATCTATTATATTAATCGTGACTGTGACTGCTTTGCTGACAGCATGTGCAATGAACATCAACCTCTCTGTCGCATACATCAATTACTAACAAAAACTTCATACGCATCACTTTGCAGCAGAGTATCAGATTACCGGTCATGTCAAACTGGCGAGTGACGGACTACAGAAACTATTATATTTTAATTAAATAAATTTTAAATCCAATTTTTAATAAATGTTTTATATCACCATCTTTTTGATACTTATCTATTAATTGTAAGTTAATTTGAAGTTATTCTAATTCTTTTCAACGTAAATAAGAATCTATAGAATAATACTGTTTAAGACAAAATACAATCAGATCAATTTTCTAATTCACTTCTCCTGATTTCACTATTTTTTTTTAAATATGAAGAAATATATAAAACAGTTATTCTTATCTTATTTACAGAGTATGAATTAATTTTGGATACATCATAATCTAACAAAACTATAATTATTAATATAGGACTGCCGACTTTCCCAGACTCAATGGGAGACTCCAGAAATTTGGCAAAAAGCTTTAATTTTCCTCAGACTCCTGAATTGACCACCTATTCTTCCTTGACTGTTTTAATAACTCCAAAACTTGATAGAGTGTCTTGTCTATCAAGTTTTGGAGTTATTAAAACAGATTAAAGAATACACTACACCATTTTCATATTATCACAAATTGCACCAATCTCTGAAAATTTTTACTCCTGAAATGAAAACTCCCCAGAAACAACTCTTTGGGAGTTGGCAAGATTACAGTTAAGTCAGTCTTTAACCATATATTAGACAAGGACCAGGACTTGAAACAAATACCTGTAATTCTCAACTGAAGCATTCCAACAGGCTCTCAGTTAATCACAGTCACTCCTTACATCCTTCTAATATAATGAAACAGAAAAGAAATGAGAGGGGCCATGCAGCTTATATTTTTATAATGGCACATAGCCACCTTTTTTTTTGTAATTCAAATTACCACTAGTCAATAGCAACCGTTGATAAACAGTGGAAGTCCGTTAGATTTGTGAATTATAAAACTGACGAACCTCAATTCTTTTCAGATGATATGCTTTTTGATTAATCCAGGCAATGTAAAATTACAATTAATACACTTAATGCATTCTACATTAATAAATCATTGTATTTAATAGTAGAGCTTTTATCAATCAGCACTCAAAATGAGCAGAACTAGTCTACGTTACTGCTTCAAGATTGTGGGGCATGCAAGATCTTCATTCATCCAAATCATCATTTAATGAATGGCAAAATCAATTATTTCTATTTCTATAAATTAATTAAACATACTAAAAACTGTCACATTAATACAAACCAATAAACTCCCAAAACAACAGAAATCTAATCTTAAATCTCTAAAAATATTCTTTTCTCACAATTATAAATGCTTGATTTATATCCGATTAAGTTGATCATCGCAGACAGCATTTGAACTTATAAATTAGAAAGAATGCTTAATAAACCTGAAAATCTTTTATTAGAATTCACAAATTTACGCCAAATAGCAGTTTATCAAGTACTTTTGGACAATTATTCTTCATTTTTAAAAAGAAGAATTTACCTAATTGTTATAACAGCTGGTTTAAAACGTATTGTTATGCTAATTACACAATGTCAAACTATTTTTGTACATTGCGAACTTCGATATAAAGTTTGGAAACCTTTTAAAGTGTTTATTATTATACCAAATTATTACTAGGGAGATTCAACAGGGTTTGTACTGTTAACAATTTAGCCCATATGCTGTACACAGATTCTATTTCGTTACATTGGCTATTAAATTAAGCAGAAACAGAAAGAATCGAACAAGTTTACATCATGGAGACTATATTTATGCTATAAATCGACATTTACTACGTCGAAACGAACTCAAAACTCCCCATCTTGCTCGCAATACTTCGGTAAGATCAATCGATTCAAAAAATTACTGTTACGTGGCAACATGGCCGTCACGTGACCTAAATACACGGTGGGAAAAATTATCTAAAATTCGAATTAATTACGACATTTAATTCTAATTTATTAGTAATTGACACAAAAGTGGAAATAAAGAACTACGGCAAACTTAGTTAAGTAACCACCTAAAAAAAATAACCCGAGTTTATAATAATAATAATATTTAATTATAATCAAAATAATTTCTTTTAATTAGGTAGAAAATAGCGTTAAGTTAATATGGCACCTGAAATTCGTCGTCCGATTCCACTTCCAACTTTATGTTGGGCATTAAGTTAATTGGCTCTACCATTTTGATCGAGTACGTGCTTGTCCAGACTCGTCCTTCCTTGCAGAAAATGGCAGGCAACCGTCGAACGTTGCCAGTTCGATCTTTCGTCTTTATTATTATTGCGAAATTTGTGTAATTACGTCGGTTTATGCTACGAAATAAACAGGACGGCCGACACTCATGCGTATTTAAACTATATATATATATATATATATTAAATATCGAGTTAAGAGTTTCCATTACTTGACTTGCGTTTTANGAAAAATTATCTAAAATTCGAATTAATTACGACATTTAATTCTAATTTATTAGTAATTGACACAAAAGTGGAAATAAAGAACTACGGCAAACTTAGTTAAGTAACCACCTAAAAAAATAACCTGAGTTTGTCTAATGTACTATTTGACAATTTCTGTATATACAGCAAGAGACTATAGTTAAATTTCATGTACACATTTGACGGCAACAGAAAAATACCACTCTAATATCAAGTAATTGGTCTTAGATCAACTAAAGTTAACGATTATCAGTAAACACAACTGAAGGTTGTCATTGACTGTAATATCTAGCATTTCATCATCTATCATTCAATCATTAGCTCTAATCATCCTTTGTACAAACAAAGGATGATTAAAGCTAAAATTGATGATTATTTAAACATTTTTCTCAATAGCCTTTCTTTGGCTTTTACCATATATATAATCACTGTTTTTACAGTTATATGTAACAAACTCTTACTTCCAACTAAGTTCTTTGGTTTTAGCTTAAAAACAAGCTTTAAAATTTGTAACAAATTCATCCGAAATGCATAGCTTGTTTTTTTTTGAAAAATAAATGATTGTTTTTCTGTTCTGAGTATCTTTGGTGTAAGTTCTTTGTCTCTAATAAAAGGCAGATAAGGGGAAAAAACAAAAATCAATTTTAGATTTTTAGTTTTTGTTTTTAAAGCTTGTTTTTAAGCTAAAACTGTATATTATAAAAAATATTAAACTGTAATTATTTAGGAACAATCAGCAATTTTCATTAAAAATTTTTTGTTTTAGGTTTTCTTTATTATATTTTAAAAAATCCTAATTTTGGACCTGTGTCTAAAATAAACTTAATAAACATTTTACAAATTTTAATTGTTCAGAAATAGCTAATTAATAACCAATAACATAACCTGTTAAAACTATAACAATAATAATTTTGTAATTACAGTAGAGTCTCATATTAAACCTCATTATTCAATATATACATATATTGAACGGGCAGGTGTCAGATTATTGGATTTTGTATGTACATACTGTACGGTAAAAAATACATTTGGTTGTTAGGTTAATCTATTATATTAATCGTGACTGTGACTGCTTTGCTGACAGCATGTGCAATGAACATCAACCTCTCTGTCGCATACATCAATTACTAACAAAAACTTCATACGCATCACTTTGCAGCAGAGTATCAGATTACCGGTCATGTCAAACTGGCGAGTGACGGACTACAGAAACTATTATATTTTAATTAAATAAATTTTAAATCCAATTTTTAATAAATGTTTTATATCACCATCTTTTTGATACTTATCTATTAATTGTAAGTTAATTTGAAGTTATTCTAATTCTTTTCAACGTAAATAAGAATCTATAGAATAATACTGTTTAAGACAAAATACAATCAGATCAATTTTCTAATTCACTTCTCCTGATTTCACTATTTTTTTTTAAATATGAAGAAATATATAAAACAGTTATTCTTATCTTATTTACAGAGTATGAATTAATTTTGGATACATCATAATCTAACAAAACTATAATTATTAATATAGGACTGCCGACTTTCCCAGACTCAATGGGAGACTCCAGAAATTTGGCAAAAAGCTTTAATTTTCCTCAGACTCCTGAATTGACCACCTATTCTTCCTTGACTGTTTTAATAACTCCAAAACTTGATAGAGTGTCTTGTCTATCAAGTTTTGGAGTTATTAAAACAGATTAAAGAATACACTACACCATTTTCATATTATCACAAATTGCACCAATCTCTGAAAATTTTTACTCCTGAAATGAAAACTCCCCAGAAACAACTCTTTGGGAGTTGGCAAGATTACAGTTAAGTCAGTCTTTAACCATATATTAGACAAGGACCAGGACTTGAAACAAATACCTGTAATTCTCAACTGAAGCATTCCAACAGGCTCTCAGTTAATCACAGTCACTCCTTACATCCTTCTAATATAATGAAACAGAAAAGAAATGAGAGGGGCCATGCAGCTTATATTTTTATAATGGCACATAGCCACCTTTTTTTTTGTAATTCAAATTACCACTAGTCAATAGCAACCGTTGATAAACAGTGGAAGTCCGTTAGATTTGTGAATTATAAAACTGACGAACCTCAATTCTTTTCAGATGATATGCTTTTTGATTAATCCAGGCAATGTAAAATTACAATTAATACACTTAATGCATTCTACATTAATAAATCATTGTATTTAATAGTAGAGCTTTTATCAATCAGCACTCAAAATGAGCAGAACTAGTCTACGTTACTGCTTCAAGATTGTGGGGCATGCAAGATCTTCATTCATCCAAATCATCATTTAATGAATGGCAAAATCAATTATTTCTATTTCTATAAATTAATTAAACATACTAAAAACTGTCACATTAATACAAACCAATAAACTCCCAAAACAACAGAAATCTAATCTTAAATCTCTAAAAATATTCTTTTCTCACAATTATAAATGCTTGATTTATATCCGATTAAGTTGATCATCGCAGACAGCATTTGAACTTATAAATTAGAAAGAATGCTTAATAAACCTGAAAATCTTTTATTAGAATTCACAAATTTACGCCAAATAGCAGTTTATCAAGTACTTTTGGACAATTATTCTTCATTTTTAAAAAGAAGAATTTACCTAATTGTTATAACAGCTGGTTTAAAACGTATTGTTATGCTAATTACACAATGTCAAACTATTTTTGTACATTGCGAACTTCGATATAAAGTTTGGAAACCTTTTAAAGTGTTTATTATTATACCAAATTATTACTAGGGAGATTCAACAGGGTTTGTACTGTTAACAATTTAGCCCATATGCTGTACACAGATTCTATTTCGTTACATTGGCTATTAAATTAAGCAGAAACAGAAAGAATCGAACAAGTTTACATCATGGAGACTATATTTATGCTATAAATCGACATTTACTACGTCGAAACGAACTCAAAACTCCCCATCTTGCTCGCAATACTTCGGTAAGATCAATCGATTCAAAAAATTACTGTTACGTGGCAACATGGCCGTCACGTGACCTAAATACACGGTGGGAAAAATTATCTAAAATTCGAATTAATTACGACATTTAATTCTAATTTATTAGTAATTGACACAAAAGTGGAAATAAAGAACTACGGCAAACTTAGTTAAGTAACCACCTAAAAAAATAACCTGAGTTTATAATAATAATAATATTTAATTATAATCAAAATAATTTCTTTTAATTAGGTAGAAAATAGCGTTAAGTTAATATGGCACCTGAAATTCGTCGTCCGATTCCACTTCCAACTTTATGTTGGGCATTAAGTTAATTGGCTCTACCATTTTGATCGAGTACGTGCTTGTCCAGACTCGTCCTTCCTTGCAGAAAATGGCAGGCAACCGTCGAACGTTGCCAGTTCGATCTTTCGTCTTTATTATTATTGCGAAATTTGTGTAATTACGTCGGTTTATGCTACGAAATAAACAGGACGGCCGACACTCATGCGTATTTAAACTATATATATATATATATATATTAAATATCGAGTTAAGAGTTTCCATTACTTGACTTGCGTTTTACCGCTGCGTGCCAGACTGCATAAAGTAGAATTTTTTTGCTAAATCTATTCACTTTTATACAATACATATAATATGCAAGCTTCTTTTTAAATTGGATTCATTATTATATAAAACATTATTTATTATTATATAAAACAAATTCATTATTATATAAAACGGGATCGAATCCCGCCCATCATCACCCGGCCGCCATTGTGGACCTGAACGAATCCATGGACTGGCTAAAAAGGCTTTCTTAGCAGAGCCGGCCCT